TAGTTACTTTACAACTCTGACTCTAAGTTGGAAAATGTTCCTTTAAATGTGTAAAAAAGCTAATGTTATTTTTTTATTTAGTCAATAATGTGAAGACGTCTTCATTTTAGAGGATGAAATAGTTCAAACAAATCATACCTGACATCAGTTGAAGCCTATTCCTCTGCCTCTGAATACACAGAAAACTGGTTTATTTTAAGGCCTAGAAGGCACACATCATGACTCGGCACCTTTCATGTCCATCAGGATTTCTGTTGTTTTCTTCTTTTGTCTATAGATATTTATAAAGGCTATGGGACGAGGTGGGGTCACTGGCATCATCACCCACGGCCATCCTACCACAGCTAGCAACGCTAGCACTAGCTAAGGGAACTGTATGTTGAGTCATTTACACAAACAAAAATATGCTTAACTCACTGAAATATTGATGGATTTACAAACAGTTGGTTTATTATAAACATTATTAACGTGGCTATGGTTTGGGTATTCAGATATGTGGAAGTGCAATTTTTCCTTTTATAAAAAYAATTTATTCGTGCGGCACAGTTATTTATCACTGCTACTTGTGTAASTTATTAATCGGGATTTCCAATTCTGTTATATGAGTTAGTTTTTCCCTGAGACCATTATCAATTCTAAGATGAACTGTTCTTTTGTCTAAATGACAATCATGATTGTATTTATTAGCAGGCTAATAACAAGCGTGGGAGTCAGACCTAACTAGTATTCCAAAGTTGACACAGTAGTTCTACATGATTTGSAGCTCTTTCTTTTAGACTTAACTGAAGCTGTATGTGATTTCCAAGCAGGTTGGTTTGTTACAAACAAAATTCTGCTTTATATTTATAGAAATAGCTACACCTTGACAAGATGACCAACGATTGATATAGCACTTAACAACAATAAAYTAACCAAAGCACTTTACACACAAAYAATAAAAACAAGAGCAAAATGCCACTAGACTACATGGAATTAAAAGCCTGTCTAAAGAAATAAGTCATGCAAGGCATTGTTGGAAGGTGCTATATGAATAAAGTGTATTATTATTATTATTATTATTATCATCATCATCATCATCATCATCATTATTATTATTATTATTATTATTATTATTATTTGCTCTGTTACATAATGCAGCAGATTATTAATGTATTTAAAAAAAACTCTTACCTTTTCTAGTTTTGCTTCAATTTCCACAACTTCGGTTTCCACTTCATCAATATTTGCCCTGAAAGAAAAAAAAAACATAGAATCACCTAATGAAAACTAATTTGTGACTACATGACCATGAAGTTAATAATTGACTGATTAATTGATTATGCCTTTATTGTCATTGTACAGAGCACAATGAAATTACATTTAAGAACACCCATTCAAGAAGACACACACATGACAAAAACACGGGGGAACAGGTGACCAGGTCATGCGACAACCAGCAGGGATCGCGCTAGCTTTAAAAACAAACAAACAAACAAACAAAAAAATACCACAGAAGGATAGATGAGAAAAAAGCCCAAAACATATATCAACAAAATATGATACACTATGGTGTTTAAATAAAAACCTCTACAGAGCAAGAGCACATTTATTAGCGAGAGGAGTAAGTGAGTTTAGAGGGAATGAGTCCAAAGAATCCAACCTCCCAAAAGAAAAACCCATAGTTCAGCCAAAATTCATAATACTGGTGTTGAATTGTTTATTCTGTCCAGCTCCAGATTGACCTTCAGGGGATCAGATTAGATGGAGCGAGAGAGGGGGAGGGGTGGGAGAGGAGCCACAAGTCAAAGTAAACACCAGGAGAAATTTGATTCACACCCTTCAAAGTCACTATTCAGTTGTTTGGGAACAGAGAAAATGTTTTTGGTCAGGCAGAAAATAATACTTTTCCATCTGCCTTAATGTTTACTGGTACATCTCAAGGTGGCGAATCCAATCAGACAAATATTGTGGACAATCCCACCGAGCCGAGCTTCTCCAAGATTAATTCCATCTGGCCAGCAAAGTCCAGGAACCACAGCCGGCCCGCGACCCTCAGCAGAACCGCTTGCAGACTGAGTCCAGCTCGCTCAAGGCACAATGTCCGAGTGCTGATAGAACAGCAATCCTTCATATTGGTCAGTCAGCCAGGAAATGAAAAGCCACCAATGCTGTTTGTAGAACACCAGGASACCACYRAGYCAATCTGTAGAATCCAGAGATCAAAATCCAACAATATATCCAGAACAGATCAGAACAGAGGTCCCACCTTTGACGTGTCCTCCCATGGAAGAAGAAAAAACTTTGTTCCAAAAATTTATTAAGAGACCAGCTAACCAAATCCATAAAATAAATCCATAATTTTAGTTTCAGATGAAAAACTTATCGGAGGCTCTGAGCAAAGCAGGGAAGATAAGGGAGGGCAGGAGAGAYGGGAAAAGCGTCTTACTCCTCYGAGAGCGGAACAAAAATWAAAAAATTTYAAAAAAATCYCAAGTGCTGATCAGTGTGACCTCAGACAGCTCAGACTCTTCAGATATATGTGAGTGTCAGACTGTGGATCCAGAGCCAGACGTGATCCAGCAGTCTGGCTCTGATCCTGGGAGCAGACCTGCTCCGTCAAAACACAGCAACCACACACAACCACCCACAAACTGCCAGAGTTGCCAAAACCACAGCAAAGCCACATCTGGACCCCCACCCTTCCACCCACAGCCTGCCTAATGTGGGCCCAGAACAGACTGAGTCTCTTGCTGCTCTCTGACCTCATGTGTAACTATCTGCAGACGGCCTCACATCCTTCTGTTAGCTGAGCATCAGCAGAGCAGGTTAGATCTGTGGTTCTCCACAACAAGTGAACCAACAATAACAGTACAAGAGGAAGACTTAAAGTCACAGAGACCAAGTCCAGACTGAGCCCAGATGTGACAGCTGCTGGCCTCAGGCTGTATTCTGTCTCACTGCACAAAGCTTTCATAATAGCCATGGCAACCGTCTCCTAACCGGGCCAAAGAGGTCCTGTTTGTGTTAGTGAGCGGCCCTTTCTTCACACCACAGGGAGCTTTAAGTGTCCTCAATGTGAAGTCATGTTCCTCCAGCTGCTGTAGATCACTCCCCACCATCACTGGACCTTCTGTACATGCTTTCAGACTCTCCCTTGGTGAGAGACATTAGTTTTGGTGCCGTCCATCAAACAAGTGCTTCTCAGGCTCTGAAAGGTCCACACGGCCCAACAAGGGGACTTCCCCACTCGACATGAGCAGACCAGTCCAGGTTTCTCCACATGAACACATCAGATGTGTTCTGAAGCAGAAACATTTGGATCAAACAGCTCCTGCAGCCAAGTTCTCTTCTACAGTTTCACCTCTTCACATCGTATACAATGGTGGAGGAAATGAGTCAATAAAAAACCACTGACCAACAAATTTCATTGCAACCTGGAAAGACTCACACAGTGACAGAGAAAAATTAAAATGCTTTATTGATGTGACTGCACAAATAAAATTGATACAGATGATAGTGTTTGACGCTCGGACCCCAGCCGAGGATGAGAGCRCCGAGAGGCTGAAAGCTCAGATGGGCTTTTTAGGGGTAGTTTTCTTCCCTTGTGGGGTCCGAACACTGGTGGTGGAGGTCAACCCATTCTCACTCCCAACTCGTCAACATATTAACGCTTGGTCATATTAGCCATCTGCATCAAGTTTTGACACGTCGGGTACCCCCCACGCGTCAGTTTTTTACGAGACGAGGCGGAGGAGGACGAGCACGTTTTCATATTTTTTTAAGAGTAGGAAATGCGCGAAACTAACCATCCCAGACCCTAAATTTAACCTGTATTAACCATATACAGCCTATCCCCGACCTCAGTACCTAAAATTAACCATTAATCCTGATCCCTCATATTAACCTCAGACCCCCAACCCAAAGAACCCTAAGTGGCACAACCCGGAAAAGCTGTGGATGGCAAGGATTGACACAAGGGAGGTACCCAATGCGTCAAAACTGGACGCAGACGGTCCCTGACCAAGCGTCAATATGTTGACGAGTCGGGAGAAAGAACGTGTTATGGAGGTTGAGGGAAAGGAAGGCACTTGAAGGCTAGGAGATGAAGGATTGAGGAGGGGAGGTGGCAGGTTGACATAGAGCTGGCGAGTGGCCAGGGCGATTGAAGAGGATGCTTTTGTCCTCAGACTGCTAGACGCTGATTGGATGAGCCTTGCGTGAATGAGACTGCTGGATCAGCCAGATGAGAGTCATTAGTCTTCCAGAGTTGAATTTTCGTCACAAACTCCATGTATCGTTTTGCACAGGTTTTTAGTAAGTAAGTACATTTACTGTGTCACAGTACTTAATTAGCGAAAGCTAACAAGATAAACTGTTGTCCTCCATCCATATTTTCAGTTCCAGGCTGAGTCATTTCTACCTTCTCCTCTCTGTCAACGCTC